TTCTCAAACTCATTAATAATTCATTAAGAAAATACAAAGGAAATTAATGTTTAATGAGTGTTTGGAAATCGGATGAAACACTGCTTAGTATTTGCATCCTTAATTTCTCCTTCAAAAATGATTTTGTTTGAGAAGAAATATCAAACATTCGACACAGTTTTTCATCACCAGATGAAACACTGCATCTCATGTTTGATATATTACGTAAAAAGTCTGTGTCTGTGGATGCTGGGCCTTTGTCATGTCTAATTTGAATTGCCGTACCCTAAGCTGTTTTGTTTTTCGTGCCCGTAAGTTTCTCTCGTTCGCCTGAATCCCACTCTAATAGTTAAGTGTTATTTTTCGATTTTCAGGAGGTAGCTGAGATAGTTCGTTTAACAAGCAGTGATGTGTGGTCAGACAGGCGCGATGGAGTCGTGTGCCTACAAAGCTTTCTTCTCAACTCTGGTGTTGTCAGGTTTGTTTACAAGTCTTTCTGTTTGTGACAAATCACTGCAGTTTTAGCATACTGATACTCCTAATATTCCCATACTGTAAAAACACTGTGATCCTACTGTTCCAATATTGTTGTCCAGTAGTAACTATACCCTTACCACATTGGTATATACCATTACTCTATGTTAACTCAAAGTGACTTACCATTGTGTCACAGTGTCAACCTTTCACTATGCTGTTTCCTTAACGTTTCAACACTTTTACCATATTGTCGCCATACTTTTTCCACTGATTGTTACAATGTTAGCATATTGCTACCCTGTTGTTACTATACTGGTACCCTACTGTTTATCCGGCTTAAGGATGGTGTCGTCATATGACATTTTATTTTTGCAGTCAAATCCTTAAAACTTCTCAGTTTTTTTCTCGTGGGCGTTTCTGATGAATGTTTTTTAATGAAGTTAATGTTTATTCCCTTAGCCAAGTGGAACTGGGGCGGATAAAGGATTGTCTCACGCGGTTGTTCTTTGATCCTCACAACAAGGTAAAGCACACTACAGTTTACAAATTCGTTTGTTGAAAGTCAAGGATCTCTTGCAGCCGCTATACTGGTAATACACACATACAGATGGCCAGAGTGTCAGTGGACTTCAATTTAACAAACGTTACACCAAGATTTCTACCATGGCTGGATAAGCTCAGTTGGTAAAGCACTTGACTACAGAGCGGGAGGTCTTGGGCTCGATTCCCGGGGCTGGTCCAATACTCAGGGTGTTAAAATTACTGGGAATTGAATGTTCTTCCTTTGCACTCTAAGCGACTAGACCTTCGCGTGGCTCGGATGACAACGTAAAATGGCGGTCCCGTCTCCAGCTGGAGACGTAAAAATAGTGTCCCCAATTAGTACTTTCGCGCTAAATACATTGACACTCAAATAAAGTGCATTTTTTAACGTTACGTAATTTTTTCTGAAGAAATACATGCAAGTGATTTTCTTTATTTCCCTTGACGCCACGGTTTTTGCGTTTTGTGCATCAGGTCTAGCACGAATTGGTCCGATTTATCGGTTAACAGCAAATAAACCAATTGCAACAAAAAATATCCAATCAAAAGATAGGGCTTCAAAAAATCTTTTCTAACTGTAGAAACTTGAAGGAAACTGACCAAGTTAACTTTCTCAAAGACCTCTGGGGCTGTCCCTAGGGACATAAAAAAACTGGCCAATAGCTGACCGAAGCTGACCGGCGAGTTCCTAGCCTCCCACGCAGACGTTCTTAGGGGTTCGTCACGCGTGAAGTGGGGCAGGAACGCGTGACGAACCCGTAAGAACGTCTGCGTGGAAGGCTAGCGCGTTCCCTGTAACGATCCCGGAAACACTCGCGGGACGCATTTCGGCTCCAGTTCCCTTCTGTTTTTAAAGTGGCGAATATAAAGCCCATTACAAGGAGTAAACAGCCGTAAAAGCATAAATCACCCCTACTATCTTTGAGATTAGCTGATTTCGTTTGTCTGCTTTTTTTCTCTTCTACAGGTTTACAGTTTGTTTTTGGACGCATTGTGTGACTTCATAGTCGTCAATAAAGTGGATCTTCACGATTGGTTGTTCGTTTTGTTGTCACGCCTTCTCACTAAGCTTGGCACGGAGCTCTTAAATTCTCTACAGTCTAAAGTTGTTAGAGTGTTGGATGTTATCAGGTGGGGCTTAACAGGAGAGATAAATATCATGTTGAATTCGAAAAATAAATTTACCTCACAGAAACAAATTAAAACTTTCAAGCAGGACTGTTAAGTTGACGTTTCGACAACCTCGCGTCGTCTTTTTCAAGATGGCGTTTATGTTAAGTCACGCGCGACCACCTTGGTGAAGCCATATTGAAGGTCTCTATTCCATGGCTTGGTTTGAACCACCTTGTATGGCATAATAAACAGTACCACAGAACATTACCGCTCAGAAGCGTTCATTTGGATAATGTGCAGCATATCTTATGTCTCATAAGACAGTTAAAAATGCGATTCTAATTACCACCAGTTAGTCGTTTTTGCGTTTGTTTCTTACAGTAAGTAATCACCAGGTATATGATGTTCCTTTATCAGGAATTTCCCTTGAAAATATACATTCATATTTGTGTTGTCACAAAAGGGGTTACTGAAGACATTTTACTTCAAAAGAAGGGAGATTTCCACACGACGAGACGTTAGTACCAACTAGTAACTTAACTCGTTAACCTTAAGGGTCGTATCCTTTCGTAAATCAGTTGGATTTCGGGATGAAATAGTTAATTCGTTATTGTTTGTCTTTTTTTCAGAGATTCCTTTCCTTATGATCTTCAGTTTAGCATTTTAACCAGATTCATCACTGATCAAACCCAGACACCCAACCTCAAGGTAATGGTGCATGAATGTACTTCACGGTCGTTCGCTCTTGTGTGTTCGTTGGAACGTTTTACCGGTGCGGCATGTTATTGGTCAAATTTTTCTTTAGATAGAGAGGTTTTATTTTGGGAGGGCAGGGTATATTGAAAGTGCAAAATGCCAGGATGTAAGCAGCCTATAGCGACTCGTGTTTGAAGGATAATCATATCAAGCCTCGTTATTAGGTCATATTTATATTGTGCTAGTAGTATTTTACTTCCTGTTTACCATCTTCCGTTTGTCTTGCAGGTCAAGATAGCCATTTTGCAGTATTTACAAGGACTTATCGGTTTGATGGATCCAAGCGATTTCACCAACTCTGGTGGTATCCTTTTTCAAAGATTTGTTATCCATGCAATCAAGCATGACTTATCTGGGACCATCATAAATTTTACATCAATCCTTCTGAATAATTATTCAGACTTGGCTCCTGGTCTCAGAAAGTTGGGAAGGCAATAGAGACATCACATGACGCACGAAAAGATTTCTTCATTAGTTTATGGACATTCCCTATCTCTCGCAACTCCTTGTACGAAAATGGAATACATTTGCAGGTTGCAGTAAAGTGTGAGACTTTTAAGAAAGCGTGGAGAAAAATACGTTATTTATGATGCTAAGGCAAATATTCCCCACTTCAGAAATTCAGGGAGAATGGGTACAAGCTTTGGTTGCAGTGATGTCTGGGATTCGTTTGGGTGAACAAGCGTCATTTATGATTGGTCGATGGTATTCAAGGTAACCATTAACCAATCATAAGTAACCCTTTTCCACCCTAACGGTTTCAGAAATCATTGGACCCAAAGCCTGTTCCCTTTCTCTCTTTTGTTTGTGGTGGGGGGAATTACGTCACAACTCTCTTTAAGGAGCTGTGTCACGAAATTCAGCCAAATTAGGTAACTACAAAATGCCTGTTAAATTAAGAGAAACGTAAAAATAACCGCTTAAAACATTAAAGGAAGGTTAAATTAACACAACAGATACAACAGATGCCACGGATGGGCAAAACTGAAGAAGATTGAAACGGATTGAAATTAGGGTTCAGCCTAACAGTTTTTTCAAACTTGATCTCTGCTGTTTCCATCGTCAAAAATAATGCTCTGGAGACATGTTTGTTTGTCTTTGATCTCTGATTTTGTCATTTTCATGTAATTTCTTTGTTTACTTTAAGTTCCATAGCGATTGAGGGAGGGTAATTGGCAAAATTAAACAAAATGAACTGGACTGCCGTGACACAACCCCTTTAACTGCCACACGGTTTAGAATGATATCACAGTGTAAATGTAAATGCTTTTCAACGCGTAATATCGTGATCAGTTGCTAAAAAAACTATACAACTAGATTTGTTGAAAACGTTTTTATAGCCTTAATACGGCGTAGAAACACGGTTGGCGGTTTCGCGGATAATCACTTGGACGACTGAGCCGAAAAGCGTGGACGTCAGGAAGGTAAGAAGCCCTCGTTCCACCCGAAATAAAGTGTAAACAGTAATAAAATAAAATGTAAACAAAAATTTTTACCAAGACATGTTGGTGCCGGGTACTAGAAATAAACTGCACTTATCTTGAAGACCCGTGCACTACATTGTGAGCATCCCTGGCGACTAAGCTACGAGTTCAGGGAGATGCAGGTCCTAAGCGCTCATAAAGAGTGCACTTCACATTTCATTATCTCCGTCAGTTAATCCACTCATGGAGTTTTCCTGCTTCTCTTTTTTCAAACCACAAGGTTGAGTGCAAAATTGTTGATACGAAGTGATGTAATTTGTGTTCTCATGCAAAATAAAACTTGTATTTTTCATCTGTCCTTATTTTAAAAGTGAAAGTTTTGGAACTCGGAAGAACGTGGTTCTTGTCCACTTCAGTGCAGTGTTGAGCTAATTTAGTGAAGGCGCTTGCTCCTCTGATGATTGTTTTATGTGACAGTTTGTTTTCAATTCATTTTGACTGCTTCCTAATTTGTCCCTAGGAATCAGCGGCTGTCATTGTGGCTTTGTTTGAGTTGAACACTCCAGAATTCAGTATGATGCTAACAGTTCTACCCAAATCTTTCCAGGTAACTCCACATATATAATATTGACCTGAAACGTAATGTGTTAGTTTTATGTATTTCATTTTATGCAGCCATTGAGGTAATAAGCAGTATTAGCTCAGTCGGAAGAGCGCTTGACTGTAGAGCGGGAAGTCGTTGGTTCGATCCTTGGGGCCGAACCAATACTCAGGGTCTTAAAAATAACAGTTAAGGTACTGCCTTTGCCCTACAAACTGATAAACCTTTGTGTGGCTCGGATGACGTCGTAAAATAGCGGCGACGTACAAATAGTCCCCTTAATAAGTACTCTTGTGTTAAAATACATTGATAGTCACAAAAAAAATGCGTAATAGAAGTGATTGTAATGCTTTTTTTTCTGTTTTTTGTAGGACGGTGCTACTAAGCTACTTCACAATCATCTAAAGAGCAGCAGCCAAGGCTCAGAGGTATTATGGGTAACGTGTTAAAATCAGTGTCGTTTTCTTTCGACGGAACAAGAGCAATAAGCCACAATCCCGGTCATAATTTGTTGAAACACTTCCGGAAACAGTTAGGCTCTTATATAGAGAAATATGGCTCCAGTAAGAGGGTCATCCGGCCGAGTCAACTTTGGCAAGCGTTTATCTGAGAAAAAAGTTGACCCCTTTGCACGAGCCAAGACCTTACAACAGCACTCCCACATGCACTGATTGTCTCGACCCTTGACCGAGTTGACCCGGCTGGGTGAGTCAAATAATAATACGGAGAAAAGTTGGCGCGCCCGACTAGGAGGCTTTCCCTATCGTCGAAAAAGGGTGGCCCGCCCTTTTGTAAGGAGATCGCGTTGGAAAAGTTCGGGTAGGCGGGTGACTCCTGGGATAACATTTCTCCATAAAAGCGGGGCCTTAGACTGTGGTTATAAATTGTTATTTTATTTTACAGTGAGGTGTGTTTCTCGGGTTTTTAGTTCAGTTCACTGGCGTGGAGTTCGCCGAGGGATTAAGCGAGTTTAGCTCCTTGTTTTGGAGTGCAAAGCACGAACACCACAAAATGTTTGTTTTCAGTTTGTTCTAGTGTTTGTCCAGCCGTTCCAGTTTCTGGTTTAAGCTTCAAAATGTCTAGCCCAAATGTAGAGCGTACGTAAAAGGCTACAAAATTTTGTTCGTGATTGTTACACTTGCCTTTGTTTTCTTCAGCCTTTTGCTGCCGGTCGCGGATCTCCGTCGTCATCTTCGTCTAACTTCGATGAAGTAGAGGAGCGACCCAGGTTAAGACTGGGCTACAGAACATTGTCCTCATCATCCATGAAAAGTGTGTCCCCGGCAAAGGACGAAAACCGTGCCGATCAACCGAGCTCCCCCGACCACCACACCAAGATACCGACGCCTACGAGGAGTCCTCGAAGCGCTCAGACCAGGTTTGGGTATTCTCCGCGAACAAACACGCCTTCGTTACAGCGTGACAACAGCAGCGAAGTTGAACCGTTGAGCTCGAATGAGTCCCTAGACGGAAGGTACACATCTCCCCCACCTCCTCACCGTGGGGACGCCGTTTCAAGCCAGCCGGAAGACGCGCCGAGTGTGTCATCCGGGTATAATAGTGATGACGTCACATCCGGGAATACAGAAAGCCACCATCGAAGAACAAGCGCGGCTGCACCGCCAGCTTCGGGTGAACCCGCGGGACAGAAGTATGACCCGAGACAATACCAAGATAAACAGAATGATTTTCATCCAGTGAGTAAACAAAACATGGTAAGAAAATCAATGAAAAACATGTAGCCGCATTTTAAAAATTAAGGAGATTTATTGCTAAAGGCAGTGAACTCTCTTCAAACGGACAACTTTAGGACCGGCCCAACTCTCCCTCCAAGAGTTATGTTCGTCTTATAGAGAGTCAAATAAGTATAGGTAATAGCATGATTTGTAGTGATATTTGGCTAAATACCACGATTGATATTTCGAAATTGTTATACGTAATTTCACGAGTCGTTAGGCGAGTGAAATTTGATGCAATTTTGAAACATCACGAGTGGTATTTATGCCAAATATCACGTACAAATCACGCTATTATTTCGTTATACTACTACCCGCAAAGGTTTTGTAATTTTCACATGTAGGTATTTCAAATTAAGCTGAAATACCACTGCTCTAAGCCAATCAAATTGCAGAAATTTCTCATGTAGTAAGGGAGTAATAAAAGGCAGGGACCAACTCTAGAAGTTCGTTTCGCCGATGTTTCCGCCTTACAGAGGTATCCATTAAGGTATTAGAACTGCTATAAAATCACAAAATGATCATGCTTAGCATTTTCGTTAAATAGGAGCCGAGAAAACGAAGGCCAAAGTTGGTATCGAAGAGTGCTAGTTTGGAAATATTATTAATCACAGGGCTGAAATCCGACGCAATACTTTCCGTTGTTGACAGAAATGTTGCAATTTTCACAACCCGGCACGCGATAACGTGTTATGAGTTTCAAGTATGGGAAATTGCTGATGCAGACCGAAAGCCTTTTTCGTCAACGGAAACAATTCCGTCCATACTAAATAAGGATATAGCATGATCATGTAGCTCCTGTCATTTAAGGAATTCTTCACAGGAAGAAACATCGCTTGCTCCATCCTTTTTACGTAAATTCTATCCCATGCGTTGATGTACTGTAGTTTAGTAGAACGTGAAGAAATTTCACCGTTTAGAGACTGGCACTTTCTCTAAATTTTTTCTGTTTAACTTGTAGGTACCGGAAATGAATGGTTTTCTTACCGCTGGCCGGAAGAAGAACGGTGAAGTGGAGGACGAGCTTGATCGTTCATTAGAGGGAATGGATCACAGTGATGACCAGTTTGATAAAGGTACTATCAGTACCTGCGTGATATTATTTCGGCTTTATGATACTAAGTAGTGCGCGCGTGTGAACCCGCGTCATTTTGGCGGGAAAACGCGATAGCCTTCTTCATCCTTGGCCTATTAGATAGTCTTGTGCAGTGATCGGTTTGTCACAGATGATCGACCTGACTCTTCAAACGACCCCCTCCCCCACCCTGTCAAAAAAGGGAATCAGTTATGGTTAGATGTCTTTCTATCGTTCACTGCGCCGAATAAACCTGAATGGACTAAAATCGCTCGCCGTTACAACGGTAAAGTTGTACGCGTCTTTTCAAACAACGTCCGGCTGACCAAATGAACTTTTTTCAGGCCATGTTTGTACTGAAGAAACTGCTTCATAGCTCAAGGGTTTTTATTCTTTCCTCGAGGTTTTAACGTTTAGATTTTAACAAAAACTCACTCACATTGTTTTATCGTCTTAGATGTTTCTTTTGAAAACGCCGATGGTCTTTCCCCTCTGATGGTCCCACTAGGAGCACCCTCAGGTATGCAGACGGAGGAAAAGAAAGAGGCCCTGGGAGAGTTACTGAGAATGGCCCGTGAAGAGGCACCTGAACTTTGGGAAGAAAACTTGAATACTCTGCTCTCCTTAGTCTTGAAGAACATTGGCGATGACGAGGTAGTACTTTATAGACTTAGTTAGTTTATTTTTATTTATTTATTTATTTATTTATACCACCACTTCATATGTAAAATTACATTTTGAGAATTATTCCATAATCAAAATATAGTTACATAAAATACGTAATGTAAAAATATCTAAATACCGTCTGGTGAGGAGACCGCAGAAAGCGAAAGGCTTGTGAAGGGATGTTCCCCCACGATTTGGTCATCGATTTAATACAGTGAAACCTCTATTAAGCGGACACCTTCAGGACCTTCCCATGTGTCTTCTTAATGGAGGGTTTCCGCTTAATAGAGTTTGTAAAAATTGCGCAATGTTTGTGATAAAGTTCTAAAGAACTTTTAGGTGAACTCTGATGGCGGATGACAATCATACGGCCGGATATCAGTCTAATCTACAGTTTATTGATAGCTAAATGTATTGATTTATCCTTATTAATCGACTACAGTTCGTATTTCAGGGACAGAATCCAATACTAGTATTGTCAATTCAGTCCGTAAAGGTGTCCGCTGAATAAGGTTTCGTTATAAAGGGAAATATAAGACGTTAATTTCGGGACACGGCTTAGTGTCCGCTTAATAGAGGGTGTCCGCTTAATTGGGGGTCCGCCTAATAGAAGTTTCATTGTCTTAGATGCTGGAACCGGCTTTGACTAGCGGGCGTAGAAGGATAGAATAGAATTTAACTTTGCAAAAGAAGTTGCACGTTTTTGTTGCCCTTTTTTACCATACTTCAAGAAACAGAACATGCAAGGAAACTCCGTTCTTTGCGCTGACTTCTTTATTTTTTGTTATTTATGCTTCAGCCTTCCATACGACTACTTTCTCTTCGTGTTGTAAGAGATCTGGTACGGACTAAGCCCCATGCCTTGAGCGGACCGAATCAAAAAATGATTGAAACAGTTCTTATTGCACACAAGGACTCTCAGAAAGAGGTAAAGCAAGAAAAAGGTTTGAAAAGTAGTAAGAGTAACAAGAACATATTATACAAGATTGCTGCATTAGTTTTAAAAGACTACCATCAATGCTTTCCTGTTTAGTAACTTTCCTTTACGTTGGGCAGGGTCGAATAAATGGGATTTCTTATGACTTCCCCAATATTGTCAACTTGATGCGTGTTTTTCAACCGGTACGGTTGGACGAGGTGTGTTGACCTCAACAACTGTGTACTTAGAGTCTAAATGATTTCGTCCAGACTTGTTGCAAAGCCTGTTGTTGACTTTCAAGTCTCTCTAACGAGATGCATTTATTCAAGTCAACAACCCGTTTTGTGGAGTCAAAAAAGTGGTTTTCGACTTACAAGCTCTACAGTGGTAGACATGATTAAATTTTTTCGGTCTCGAACTTTGAAATAGGGGTTTGCCTTGTTGCTTGAAGATTTTTCCTACAGTTAAACCGTGGGTTGTTTGCTTTAATCGACAATTTTGAGTTTGCAAACTGAAAACAACTATTATTATTATTATTATTATTATTATTATTATTATTATTATTATTATTATTATTATTATTATTATTATTATTATTATTATTATTATTATTATTATTATCATCATCATTATCATTGCAGGTTGCTCGGGTCGCCGAAGAGGTTGCTGGGACGATTGCCAAGTCTCTACCACCTGAGGTGTGCCTGCAGGCCTTGGCCCCAGTCCTCAGAGATGCGGATTTCCCGGTCAATCTCGCCGCTCTTAAAATGACAATTAAGGTACCGTTGTAGTAGAATTTTTTGATAATTTTTCCACAGTTTGTGAAAGAGTTTGAGCTTTCTCCCGCCGAGAGTAGGCTAGAAGAGTTTTCGGATCAATTAATTAGGTTTCTGGGGAAACTGCCCACCTATCCCTCCCCTAGGCCAACATTATCACTTACTTCTCACTTAGGGCAAAATGTTGACTTGGGGGAGGGGTAGGTAGGCAGTTTATTGATCCGAATTTTAATTTAATTCATAAATCTTTTGCAGGTTGTGGAAGATATCGATAGCGAGACGGTTGAGGAAAACTTAGGAGAAGTCGTGCCTGGGCTCGTGCGGGTAAAGTTGTGTTTCTGCTTTCTACTTTTTTGAGTTCAGGTTTTAAATCTCTTAAATGATTTCTTTTACTTGCTCCCTCCCTCTCGAACTCACCATTTGAACATTTCCCATGATACACTGATCTTGTTTACACTCCAAAAATTTGCATAAGCATTTTCTTTAATTTCTCGTCAGACGATTGTGGTACCCAGGAGCAAACAGTGGTTAACCGGTTTTTTTAAGTGGGGGATGGTTAACAAGATGTTTTATGGCCAATGTAGAAATGGTGAATAATTATTTCCTCTGAATCCTGTCCCCTGCGTCTAGTAATCGTGCAATGAAACATGGTGTCAAATTTTATCGTGATATACAGTTGGTAACTCTAAGTACATTCATTTACAAGTAAAAGTTATATCGCTGTATTTGTCCTTGTTCTCTCATTCACGTGTACTTCATAACTTTACACAACTTGAAGATCAGAAAATTTCGCTGTAAACGCCTCGAAAGAGAACGTTTTACACGATCGCCGCTACCGACAAGTCGAAAAATTGAATAAGTACCGCGGCGCTTTTGGGAGTAATTAGTAGTAATAGACCTTCTTAGCTTGTATGTTTTGTTTCCATTTCAGACCACGTGATAGTACCCCTGAGAACTGTTTCTCTCAAATGTCGTCCTATGCACGTGAATCCATGTGCATATGTATACATGATAATGAAAAGACAAAAGGCAAATTCGCTAGAGAATATCACATGGTCTGAAATGGGAAAACAAAACGTACAATCTAAAAAGGTCTATTATCATACTTGAATGAAGGAATGAAGAGTCGTGGATGAGAGGACAACAGACGTACCCTCTTACAATACATTTAAACATATGAACAGTAAGCTTGGACGTCAAACAAAGGCGCCACTGGCAGCCGCTCTCAGTCCATTTATGAGCTTACTGTACCCACCCAACCCATGATGTGAATGATGTGATGAGTGAGGGTTGACCACAACACCGGGGTCTACTTCCCCTACTATTTTCGACCAGTGATGTGGGTTCTTTTACGTCCCACAAGAACCAGGTAAGTGTGTGTGCTGTGAGACGGGACCTACGGTTTTTCCTCCTTATCCGAGAAGACTAGAAAGTCTAACCGTTTGCAGATGTCATTACAAAGGCAGCACTTTCTTCTCAGTTATTAAAAGACCCTGGGTGTTGGTCCGGCGGGGGTCGAACCCGTTACCTCCCGCTTAGCAGACCAGCGCTCTCCCAACTGAGCTAACCAGGCGGCGGTCAATTAACTTTTTTAAATTAACTTTTTTTCTATCTTTTAGTGCTATGATCACGTTGAAAGTAGTGTCCGCAAGGCTAGTGTGTTTTGTCTGGTGGCGATTCACGGCGTTGTAGGGGAGGACATTTTGATGCCACATCTGGCGGAACTGTCTGGAACAAAGATGAAACTTCTTAACCTCTACATCAAAAGGTCCCAGGCCGGTAACGGCGGGGCTCGTCCGTGAGTGACTGGTGACGAGTGATGAGGAACACGTCTAACCGTCGACATCCATATGATGCCAAGGAAAGGCTGGTGTTGATGTTGCTATAGCTACCCTTGGGCTTGCCAAAGAGGCTTGGATTAGGTGCAGAGAATCAACGTACTTAGTTTCCTTGGTTCAGTGGAGTTTAAAGAGGCATCTTACAAAAATAAGCGGGCGAAGAAAACATTAACGATCGAAAGATGGGTCTCCATAACTGAAACCGGAAATGTCAGCAGCCTCGCCAGGAAAAAAAAGCGATTTCTCACGTTTCAATGCTTTCTCTACATAAAACAAAGTTACGTATCTTGCCGGTTTATTGTTGCGTTGTGAAAACTTGACAAGCTGGTTTCTGCCAGTTTTTATCAATATTGTGTGACATAACTAGAGACAATGGTCATGACGTCCAGACTCAAATAGTTGTCAGTTGTTCAAGCTCTACGTAGGAAATCTACACTGTCCGTCAAGACTACGAGCTTTTAATTTACCAGCATTTTATCGACTTTTCTTTGTACATACTTTTTACCATTTTTCATATTGTATCATATTATTTTCTTTCCTTGTTTCACCTGGACATATTATAAGCAAATCTAATTCCTGTTATAGAAAGTGCGAAGAGCAAGCCACTCGCTTTGCGTGACTTGACAGCCTGGTTTGCATGCGATGGCTAGCGACCAGGCCCCAGTTGTTCAAACGGCGGATAAAGCTTTCAACAGGACGAATCTCTCTCCACCTTTTAGCGCAATTGGTTTCTGAAATATTTATCCATTGGGTAGTGTTTTTTTGCATTGGATAGTGCTATCCAGCGTTTGAACAACTGTGGCCCGGTAAAAACTAGCCTTAAATTAGTACCGAAGTCTCTGTTAGTAATCGTTGCTACTGAAGATTGGTTTCCATTTAATCGTTCGGTTTTAATCGTTCGTGGGTTTCAGCTACTTTAACGATGGAAGCAGTTGTAGGCGTTTTGTACAAACCAGGCTTTGATGAATCTGATTAGACTGTTCACAGTCCCCTGTTTTTTCGTGAGATCGTTTAGATATACCGCGTCTTACCGTCACAGGTATCTTGATTTTCAAATGTACCGAGGGGGCGGGCATTTTTATCGTCTCCTCTCAAACCGCCCCCTGCCCCCTAAGTAGTTTTGACACTCGTGCGAGATGGCAGCCCGTAACGCAAAGCGCTCGATCTCGATGATCTTACGGAAAAATAGAGGACTGTGAACAGTCTAGAATCTGATAAACTAGCGAACGGACCTTACAGAACTACAGAACTGTTTGCCTGTACACCACTGGAGTCAAGAGATGCGCAAGTCAAAAACTTTAAAACACTACGTTATGCTACAAAGGACAGTAAACAGGCGAAGACCGCTGTAATTGATTTTGTTTGTAAAGGAAGTAATATATTTATTTTTAAATAGACTTCGATTGAGCGGCAATAGTTTTATGTGTGAAGTAATTAAATTAAGGAAAGGCTGGGACCACTCCTGGCAGCTAAGTCGTGATTTTCACGATTAACTAGATCAAAAATATTAAACCGAAAATCTTGTTGAGTAATGATTATTTGCCTGAAATTAATTTGTTACTTCAAGGGGCTGTATCATGGCTAGCTTGTTAATTTCGTTTATAATGGCAATTACACATCCTTATACGTCATGGAACTTGTGAAATTACTTGAAATGTTGAAATCGCATCTTCGTGGCAAACAAATGTCTCCCAATAACAAGCATGTTTTGAAACGTTGCAAACAACAAAAGTAAACTTTGAGAAGTATGTTAGGCTAACAACAGGTTTTCAAAATGCAATTTGAGCAATCGGTTTCAATGGTCTTCAAGTTTGTCCATCTGTGCCGCTCAATTTGGTAGCAGTTCCCACTGTTTGAAAATTTGATAAATCTCGTGTTAAAACACAGCTACTTTATAAGCAAGGGAAAACTGAAGTTAGTAAAATCCAACTAGTGCTGCGTTCTGATTGGTTGAGCTACTACTAGGCTGTATGTTATAGCCCACTAGTAGCGAAAAGCGCCGGCTTTGAAAACCAAAACAAAGGCGGCTGAATCGAGTTTTGCTAGCTAAAGTTGTTTTGTCTCGATATTTTTTACGAACTAGTTGGATTGTACTAAAAACATAGGCACGTTAAACGTGCATGAGCTATTTTGAATGCTTCAGTGTAACTTTAATGCTTCGGTGTAACCTTACCAAGAGTGATCAATCTACCTCTTTCATCCTAAATGTAGATTAGGTTTTTGTGCGAAATTGCGTATTGCGGTACAAAACGAAAACACGAAACGCTCAGCTAAGTCGATCCTCAAGCTATATATTCACTTTCCTCTGTCTTTCCCTGTTACATCTGGTGCAAGTTAAACAAATCGTTGAAGTGAAATAAATTTCTACTCACCAAACGTTGATTAGAAGGAAAACTCTAAGGTTTCCTCGGAGTTTCTTAAGCCAAAATGTGACTCATCGAATACTAAATGCTTTTCAACGTAACACCGTGTAGTTGAAAAGCTGTTTCATTACGGTTCGTAGCATTTTTGTCACATTTGTGTCAACCTTTTCTTCTTAATTACTCAGTTTTTTAATAGAGGTTACGTAACTACATTTTATTATACACTATGAATATTTGTATAAATATCGACGTATAGACTTTTTGGCTATCTCGCCTTTTGGACAGCCGTTATCGGTGACCAAACTAGAAGTTTTGTTTATTCTTTCTTTTGCTTCGATGGATGGTGATTCTGCTCAGCCAGAGACCGTCCTTTCCCAAGGTCAAGCAATCTTTGCTCCTTCACTTTCTGCTGGCCCTGCTGCAACTGGTTCGCCTGCGGCTTCCGCACCGATGTTGGCTGAGCTTAAAAGTTTCTTGTCTCACGAACTTTCCTCCTTTAAGGAAGAGTTGAAAAGGCAGAACGACGATTCCATCAACTCTGCCGTTAAGAAAATTCGTTTAGAAAACTCGGCTCGCCATTCCTTTAAATCTAAGGGCAACGAGGAACAGTACAACCACCAAGAGAAGGTCGCTACTCACTTCGACAGCGCGATTGAATCCCTCCATTCCGGCAAACTCCTCGAAGTCAGGAATGTTTTAGAGGAAGGTAAGAACCTTGTTGCGACCCGCATGAAGCA